GCTATTGCTATTGCTATTGCTATATTGCTAAGCGGTTTACAGAGCCAGCCTCTTGCTCCCCAACAATCTGAGTCCTCCTTTTATACACCTTGGAAGGATGGAAGGCTGAGTCAACCTTGAGCCGGTCAGGATCAAACTGCTAACACTGGGCAAGTTAGCCTGCAATATTGCATTCCAACCACTGTGACACCATGGTCCTTCCTTCCTTCCTTCCCTCCCTCCTTCCTTCCTTTCTTCCTTCCTTCACAATAGCACTTAGTCTTGTATACTGCTTTACAACCCTCTCTAAGAGGTTTACAGAGCCAGCCTTTTGCCCCCCACAATCTGAGTCCCCCTTTTACCCACCTCGGAAGGATGGAAGCTGAGTCAACCTTGAGCCGGTCAGGATCAAACTGCTAACACTGGGCAAGTTAGCCTGCAATATTGCATTCCAACCACTGTGACACCATGTTCCTTCCTTCCTTCCTTCCCTCCCTCCTTCCTTCCTTTCTTCCTTCCTTCACAATAGCACTTAGTCTTGTATACTGCTTTACAACCCTCTCTAAGAGGTTTACAGAGCCAGCCTTTTGCCCCCCACAATCTGAGTCCCCCTTTTACCCACCTCGGAAGGATGGAAGCTGAGTCAACCTTGAGCCTGGCGAGATTCGAACTGCCAAACTGCAGCTAGCAGTCAGCTGAAGTAGCCTGCAGTACTGCACTCTAACCACTGCGCCACCTCGGCTGATTAATAAAAGTTGATCAACTCTCCTGCATTACCTCCCAATCTTAACCTGGAACGCTACCAAATGCAGGTAGTCCCGACAATTTATGTTGCTAAGTGAGAAATGTAGTTAAGTGAATTTTGCTCCATTTTATGACTTTTCTCGCCTCCGTTGTTAAGTGAATCACTGCAGTTAATAAGTTAGTAAAGTAGTTGTTAAGTGAATCTGGCTTTGGGAATTATGTGACCCTGGGACATGGCGACCGTCATAAGTATGAACCGGTTTGCCAAGGGTCTAAATTTTGATCACGGGACCATGGGGTTGCTGGAACGGTCGTAACCGTGAAAAACAGTCCTAAGTTACCTTTTTCAGGGCTGTTGTAACTTTGGATGGTCACTAAATGAACTCTCACAAGTCGAGGACTAGCTGTAATAACTGTGGCCTACAGAGGTTCGATTTGGGGAAACTGAGGTTTGCGGTCACCGTCTCTTCTTTCGTCAGCAAATCACGGAGCTGCGGAAAGAGAATTTCAACTTGAAACTTCGCATCTATTTCCTGGAGGACCGGATTCAGCAGAAGTTTGATGATCCCCATGATGACGTCTACCGGATCGTAAGTGTTGGGTGTTTTTTTGTTTTTTTTTTGCGGTTCCTGGTTTCTTTGCGGGCACCAGCGCATATTAGGACATTACCGGCAAGTAAGGACATCCCTGTTTAGTTTGGTGGCAGCACTACCTCAGATAGAAAGTCCCTACAGAGAGTGGTGAGGACAGTGGAGAAGATTATAGGAAGCTTGCTTCCCCTTATTCAAGAAGTTGCTTATAAGCACTATTTTTTTAGGGCTCAAAGCATTGTTAGAGACCCTGCACACCCACTTCACAGTCTCTTTCTGTTGCTCCCCTCTGGGAGGAGGTTTCGAAGTATTTCTAGCAGGATTCTGTAACAGCATTTTCTCCCTAGGCCATCTGTCTGGTAAACTCACAATATTCGTTTTTCTCACCATGTACAGATATACTGTACATCTGAACTGGACTGTGTTGTTTCTCTGCATCATATAATAAATGTGGATATATTCATAATTTTGCATTTATTTATCTGGTCATGTTCATGGCGTATATCCTGGAGGTGGTGACTCTTTGAGAGCAAGGAAATTTCATTTTAATATATGCTGATTCCTGTACATTAGAATTAGAATGGAATAGAATTCTTCATTGGCCAAGCGTGATTGGACACACAAGGAATTTGTCTTTGGTGCAGAAGCTCTCAGTGTACATACAGAAAAATAAAATAGAACACATTCATCAAGAATGATAAGATACAACACTTAGTGATAGTCATAGGTTACTAAATAAGCAATCAAATCATCTAAGAAACAAATGAAACAATATAAATTTTAAAGATACAAGCAACATGGTTATAGTCATAAATGGGGAGAGATAGATACTAGGAAGGAAGAGAATAATAATAATACAGTTTTAGTAAATAGTTTGATAGTGTTGTTGCATTAGTTGTTTAGCAGAGTGATAGCATTCGGGGGAGAACTGTCCTTGTCTCTAGTTGTTCTGGTGTGCAGTGCCCTATAGTGTCGTTTTGAAGGTAGAAGTTGAAACAATTGATGTCCAGGCTGTGAGGGGTCTGTAGCTATTTTCACACCCCTCTTTTTGATTCGTGCAGCGTGCAGGTCCTCAATGGAAGGCAGGTTGGCAGCCATTGTTTTTTCTGCAGTTCTAATTATCCGTTGACGTTTCAGTCTGTCTTGTTGGGTTGCAGAGCCAAACCAGACAGACATAGAGGTGCAGATGACAGACTCAATAATTCCTCCGTAGAAATGAATCAGCAACTTCTTGGGCAGTTTGAGCTTCCTTAGTTGGCACAGAAAGAACATTCTTTGTTGTGCTTTTATTTTTGATGTTAGGTTTCCATTTTAAGTCTTGAGATATGATAGAGCCTAGTCACCTGCTTGGAGTCTTTCCCTCACGAAGGCCAAAGTTTTACCCCCGTTGCGGTTATGGAATAGGAAACTACTCTGCAAAAATTCCTTGTGTGTATGCGTGGGGGGGAAATCCAAGTTTTTCTTCATTTCTCTCTCGTTCTGTTAGAACATCGAGCTCAAAGTTGAATTGGAGAGCGTGAAACGAGAACTTCAGCAACGAGAGCAGTTGCTCCGGAAAGCGTCGTGAGTATTTTCCCTGTCATGAATGTGCGGACGGCCCTCCTTGTTTAATTGTGTTTCTGATGCCCAGCTGGGCTTCCCCTCTGCAGGCCAGTCTTGGGTTGACAAGGGAGATCCAGCTGGATGGCAGCTCTGTCATGCCCCCATCGGAGCCTGAATCTGCATGGGAAGACGAGCTGGGACCTGAACCGACAGAGATTGAGAGGGTGGCTTTGTTGTCTTCGGAAGAAAATGGGGAAGGCCAGGGTCTTTAAGGATTAGGAAAGGTTGTAGGCAGGGAGGAACAGGGACTGGGTGAATATAAGAGACAGAACTCAAGCAAGGAGCAAGGACCACCCCCTCCTGATCCGAGAGCAGGGAGAGTGGAGAGAAGGCGTGAACAGCGCAGACTGAACAGGCTACTCGGGAGGAGAGTGCCCCGCCCATCTTCACAAGGCAAACCTAGGGAATGAGACTTAGAAACTTGGTTTAGTGTTACCTCTGTGCCATGCCCCGGGTCATCACAAGCTCCATCCTTCGGTCTTCTGCTGTTCTTCTTCTTCTTCTTCTCCTCCTCCTCCTCCTCCTCCTCTTCCTCCTCCTCCTCCTCAACGGTCCTATATTTGGCCTTTGCAGGAAAGCCGTGGAGAGCTTGGCCCAGGGTGGTGATGCCGAAATCCAACGCCTGAAGGAAGATGCGGAGAAGAAACTCCAGGAAGTAGAAACAAGCTTGACTAGCAGGATCCAGCTTCTAGAGGAGGCAAGTCTTGGAAACTTCAGGAATTTTTGGGGGAATGTGGGGTCTTTGGACCCAGTGGGAAGATTTGGCTGGAATTTGCTGGCCAAGGAAATCCAAGGAAAAGCTGCCCTCGAGAGCCTCGGTGGCACTGTGGTCAGAGTGCAGCACTGCAGGCTCCTTCTGCTGACCACCTGCTGCCTGCAATTTGGCAGTTCAAATCTCACCAGGCTCAAGGTTGACTCAGCCTTCCGTCCTTCCGAGATGGATCAAATGGGGACTCAAATTATTGAGGATCATAGGCTGACTCTGTAAACCGCTTAGAGAGGGCTGTGTAGCAGTATTTCAATCTAAGTGCTTTTGCTGTCTGTCTCCCTGCCAGCCTGCCTGCCCATCCATCCATCCATCCATAGATCCATCCACCTACCCATCTCTCTCTCTCTCTCTCTCTCTCCCTCCCTCCCTCTCTTTCTGTCATCCTATTTATCATCCACATCATCCATCTTACATCTATCTATACTGTTTTATCTATCTATCTATCTATCTATCTATCTATCTATCTATCTATCTATCTATCTATCTATCTATCTATCTA